GGATGCCGGCACTAGCCCATCCTGCCATGGATACTGCACCAACAGGGCTCCTCTCCGCGCTGCCACCACATCTTTGGCGACAGGGACACACACAGGGCCACCCTGGGCTGATCATGGGTCTTGGTGACCCAAGCGGGACCAGCTGTGGGTCTGGTCCCAGGGCTGCACCAGCCCAGGGCAAGGGGGGGACAAGGGACGGCTCCGTAGCCTCCCGCTGGCACAGGGGACATGTCCCCGTGTCCCCGCGTTCCCTCTCCCTGCAGCATCTCCCCGAGCGGAGGCTGCCCAGACGGCGCCCGTCTCGTCCCGTCACTCCCTTCTGCTTCCCAGGAATTGGGCAAGAGGCGCGGGGGGTTGTTTGGGTTCTGTTGACGGCGGCTTGGAGCGTGAGATGAGCCCGGAGGGACAAGAGCGAAGCGAGGCTGGGCTCCCCCGCACAAACACGGCTCAAGGCCGCGGCGCCACGCGGAGCTGGGAACGGCTTTGTTTTCCAAACACAAAAGCTGCCGGTCCTTGGAAAGAGCAGAGAGAAGGGCACGACAAGGCCAGCGCGAGGCAGGACACGGTCGGAGGAGATGGCACCAGCCCCCCCGTGTCCCTCTGTCACAAGAGGTGTCCGGGCTCAGCCCTGTTGTCTCCAGAGGGCAGAGTTTGGGCTCCGGGAGGCCCCAAGGGCTGGGAGAAGCTTCCATGGATATGGTCAGTCCCAACACAGCCTCCCCCTGGGGACACTGGAAAAGATCAGGAAAACAGGAGGGTGGTGGCCAGAAGTGGGGACAGGGAGAGTCCTGGGTGCCCCCCATGGGGACAGAGGGACCAGAGGGACCCGAGGCCGGGGCGCGGGGACAGGGCTGCCCCTGCCCTCCCCTCGTCACAGCCTCAAGAACCAGACACGAGGGATTTTCATTAAAAAAAAACCTTTATATTCATTTCATGGCGGTTGAAATCCCAAAAAATTAGGGGGGGGGAAAAAAAAAAAAAAAAAAAAAAAAAAAGAAAAGGAGGGGACAAACACAGACAAACCGCCCAGCCTCCCCCCGCGGTCGGTGCTTTTGCAGGGCCAGGGGACAGGACCTAGGACATGAGCTACGGAGTGGAGAAGGGGGACGCGGGGCAGGACGAGGCCGGTGTCCCTGGGCAGGGTCCCCCTCGGTGACGTCCTCCATCCGCAGCCTCAGCTCTCCTCGGCGTCCCCCGCGGCCTCGGCGCTGGGATAATCCTTCCGCCCAGCCTCCCCCCGCGGTCGGTGCTTTTGCAGGGCCAGGGGACAGGACCTAGGACATGAGCTACGGAGTGGAGAAGGGGGACGCGGGGCAGGACGAGGCCGGTGTCCCTGGGCAGGGTCCCCCTCGGTGACGTCCTCCATCCGCAGCCTCAGCTCTCCTCGGCGTCCCCCGCGGCCTCGGCGCTGGGATAATCCTTTCCATTGACGGGACCTGACAAGTCTAAAACGAAGGGAGAGGTTCAGGCGCCCGGGCCCCCAGATCTCACCCAAACGTGAGGCAACACGGGGACACGCGGCCACCTCCGGGCTCCTGCAGGGCGCACGCGGCCGAGCGCCTGTCCCCAAACCCCGACCGCAGCAGCTACGATGGGGAGGCCCCCGGACACCCCATTGCCCCGGACGGAGGCAGCCGCCGGGGGGGATTTTCCCTGGCAGCTGCTCCGGGAAGGCACCGTCTCTTGCAGCAGCACCAGGACGTCCCCAGCAGGGACCTGGCTGGGCCCAGGGCCACGGAACGATGGAAGATCCTGGTCAGGAGCTGCCTGCGCAAGAGTCCGAGCGGGCGGCCAAGGGCGGCTCCGAATTCCTGCAGCTCCTTGGGGCCCGGAGCAGCTGGGAGCACAGGGCGATCCCGGAGGCTCCGGGGCGAGGGTCACCTCTGCTCCCCCTTGGCATCCCACCCACCGCCCCGGGGCGAAGGCGCAATCCCTATATTTGGGCTCGCTCCACTTGGGAAGCTGGGATTCAACCGCCCTTTCCTGAGACGGCTCCGCAGCCTCTGCCCTCTTCTCCAAACTGCAGCAAAACCCAAAAATATCACGGGCAAACGAGGATTTCCACGAGCCCCTTCCCCCTGTCTGCACCCCTAGTGACCGAGGGACCAGAAATGCCACATGTGGCTGCAAATCCCTGCACTGCTGATTCCCCTTTAGGTCCCAGGGCACCAGCGGGAGCTGCTGCGTCCCAGGAGGGCCCTGGGAAGCACCCCGAGCTGCGCAGGGAGCGTTACCAGCACTCGTCTCCTCTTCACCCTTCTCATTCCGCATCTCTCCACTCGACAACTTCTCCTGCCCCTTCTCTGCGTCCCCCTTGTCCTTCTCCGGCCCGGCTTTGTTGGCTTTCTGGATCGCTTCCATCTTTGGTCCCAGGACGCGTGACTTCAAGCGGGTGTAGACCTCGGCGGCTTTCTCCATCACGTCCTTGTTGGCTTTATAGCGACGGATCTGCGACAGAAAGGGGGCCGAGGGACCCGCGCTGGAGCCCGAGCGGCCCCCCAAAGGGCTCAACTCCCTGCTCAGGGGGCTGGGCCCTCCAGCCGACCTTCTTCAGGGTGGCCACCACGTCCGTGTGCTTCTGCAGGATGTGCGAGGTGACCTGGAGCGAGCCCAGCTCCTCCAGCGCGTTCAGACACCGCTTGATGTCCTGCGAGGACGGCACGAGGTCAGGAAGGGCCGGGAGGACCTTCCTCTGCCTGGCCATGGGCAGCGGGACGGGCAAAGCGTCCCCGGACACTCACCGGGTTATCGACCTTCAGGGCAAACTTGATCTCACTGTGAAGCTTCTGGAGTTTCTCTTCAACTGTGGGCTCTGGAATAGCAAGAGAGAGGCAAAACAGCAGGTCACTGGTCTCTGGTGCAGAAAATGCCACTGCCCAGAGCCCGAGGCGCCTGGAGGAAGCTCGGTCCCCTCAAACACTTCCCAACATAATTCCAGGACCACAACAGCCTGCACAGGGCCCAGCACAACCACACAGGGCCCTGTGGAAGAGACGCTTCCCTTCCAGGATGGGGAGGATTCATCCCTGGATCCCTTCTCTCTCCTCCCCAAACATCTCTTCCTGTCTTGGGTACAACCACTCTCTCACCCTTTTTCTTCTCCATCCTCCTTTCTGGGATCAGGTCAGACTTCTTCCGGCCTCGTTCCACTTTCGGAGGCCTGCAGGAGCAGAAGGAAAGAGCCAAGATGGTTCAGACACCTGCAGGCCTGGAAGCACCGTCCCCGCCACGCTTGACCCCTGCCCCAGCATCCTAGGACTGCAAAAAGGCAGAGCCCAGAGCAACATGTCTGAGATCGTCCCCAGGATCTTCCCCTGCAACATCAGAGACCAAAAATGAGAGGGAAGCTCAGACAGGAGCCTCTCAAACACCTTCTCCAGCCCCCACAGATGCTGCTGTCACTGAGAGCTGCAGAAGGGACCCCCATGCCCACGCCAGGGTCTCAGCCAGCACGGGCAGGGCCCTGGCAAACGAACGTCCCTGTCCCCAGAGGAAGAAAGCGCCAAGCCCAGGGAAGGGGGATGCTGACTTGCTCCGCGGCTTCTCCTCCGCTCGGCCTCTCTTCTCCTTCTGATTCGGTTTCCTTGACAACTCCGAGGGCTGCTTCTTCGGCGGCTTCTTTACCTTGGAGGAGAGAACAATGCAGGCGAGAGCGGCCGCCCCTTCCCGCGCTGCCCCGAGCCCGCGGGGCCACCGCCAGCACGAGACAGGGGACCCTGGGGACACCGCGGCTGGGAGCTCTCGACAACCCATCTCCGAGCTCCAGCCCAGTCCCATCGACCCTTCCCTGCTCCCTGGGGCTGCCTGTCCAACCGTCAGGGCAGCGAGAGCCCCGCAGAGGTGCCAGGACTGCAGCTGGTGGTGGGAATCCAGGGCTAGGGGAAGAGCTGCTTTGTACAAGCACTGCCTTCCCAGTGCTCTCCGGGCAACTCCGGGATCACAGAGGATCAAGACTCAGGTCACCGCCAGTCCTGGAGGTCCCTGCTGACCTGACAGGAGGGGACGGGCTCTGCGTGGCTGCCCCCAGCTCCTCACACCGCCACAGAGCTGGGCTCACCTCCTTTTCAAGCTCTAGTTCGGAGTCTGAGGAGGAGGGGGCCTTGGTCCGGCCTTTCCGGCCCTTCTTGGCCACCTCCTCGTCAGCGCTGCTGTCACTGTCTGAGTGCATCTCCTCGCTCTTCTCCGCTTTCTCCTTCCTCTTCTCTTTCTCCTCCTTCTCCTGCTCCCGGAGCCGACGGATCTCTTCCTCCTGCTCCCTCTTCCTCTTCTCCTCCAGCTCCCGTCGTCGCTCTTCGTCCCGCCTCTTCCACTCACTGATGCGGTCCACATCGCTGTCACTGTCACTGCAAAGGACAGGACACGTTGGGACCCCTCACGTAGAGGGGGACACTGGTGACCCCCCCAGCCTAGCCCTGGGGGTGACAGTGTCCCCGTCGGGCTGTGTCAGTCTCACCTGTCGCTGCTGGAACTGGTTGGGACGCGTTCGGGCTTTGGCTTCCTGCCGCGGGGCTTCGGAGGGGGTTTCTCAGCTGCAAGACAACAGGCAGATGCTCAGCACGAGCCCAGGCTGTTGCTCTGGTAAAACAGCCCTTATCAGAAGGACAACAGCTTTGGGCCCGAAAAGGTCCACAGTAAAAGGCCCCTCTGGACCCCTGGCAGAATCCCCCAAGCTCACGTGCTCTCCCGGTTCCTGAGGGCCTCCCTGGCATTACCTGGCTTCCTGCCCCGTGGAGCTTTCTTCACAGACACATCTGAATCCGAATCGGAGTTGGAGTCCGACTTGGTCATGTTCACAGCCGCACTTCCCATCTCCGAGTCCGTGTCCACTTTGGAGTCCGAGTCGGAGGCAGACTCCACCTTCTGCAAGCACAGAGTGGGACAGGTCGGGAGGTGGCCACTAACAAGCCCTAGCACATAGGAACAAATGACCCAGGCAGGTCCCTGGGACACAAGCGAGGTCCCTTGTGTCATCGAAGGCACAAAGGGCCCATGGGGACAGCTCTGCCACCCCCTGTCCCTCCTCTCCGCAGCGCCCCAGGGCAGGGCTGCCTTGGGGTACGAGGTGTCCCCCCCAGGCCATGCCAGATCCCAGCAAAAGCCACATCCCTCAGCTCCAGGCTGGCTTGTCACGCAGGGCAGAGGGGCAAAGAGCCAAGTGGCACAAAGCTAATGACTGCAGGAGTCTTTTACCTTCTTCTTCCTCCCTCCTGCAGGCATCCTCCGGGGAGCCCTGGCCACCGGCTTCTTCTCGGGAGTAAAGTCCTGGAGGAAAACGGAGGGATTAAGGAATGAGGAGCCGTCTCCTGGTGGCTTAGGAGGCCAGTGGGTTTCCCCCACAGCCGGACTCGGTGCCGTTGCCTCCTGCAGCTCCTCCAGCACCACTCGCAGCCCCAAACCCGCTCACCTGGTCGCTGTTTTTCTCCGACTCAGAAGACGTCTCCGAGTTCTCTTCCTCTGTCAGGGAGGGGCTGCCCTGATCCAGGTCACTGGAAGATTTCCGAGGCCGTTTTGCCACCGGCATCTGCTGGCCAAGAACGGATGCCATGAGAGAAGCCCATCCGTCTCCACCCGCGACAGGAGCCAACAATTCCTGGCCAGGGGCTCTGCCCACCCTCCCTCGGTAGCGCTGCAGGAACAGCCCCACGTGCTGGGAAGAAACTCTGGATGCAGCTCTGGATGCAGCTGGACTAAGCGAGATGGCTGCGAGACCCCCTAACCCAACACGGACCCCGTCTCCCAGCGCAGCACATGGAGGAATTGGCTCCTTCGCCTCCTGCCACGACAGGATCTTCCACTTAAGGGGGACATGCAGCTCTGTGGTGGACCCAAAAACCATCTCAGAGCTTCCTGGTGACCAGGCCGCCCTCCTGTCCTAACCCTAACCCCAAACCCTAACCCTAATCCTAAACCCTAACCCCTAAACCCTAACCCAAACCCTCATGCCGTGCTCACTTTCATAGCCAAGGCCTTTCTCTTGAGCGCGCTGTGATCGCTGCCCCGGTCCGAGTCCTCGTCGCTGTCCATCTTCTCCGCGGCGGCTGCGGCGATGGCAGCGTCGTCCTCGTCGTCGCCTGCGTCGCTGCCTCCCATGGGGTCGTTCTCGGCAACGTCGCTGTCCGAGGAGCTCGCGGGCTAAAGAGAGCAGAGACAAGACCTGTGTCATTGTCCTGGCAGGGCTGGGATGTGCTGGGATGGAGAGGAGAGGGGGCACAGGAGGGTGAGGAGCGATGGAGAGCGGCACTGAGCGGGGAGGAGCACGGGATAGCGTCCCTGTGTGGCACCGTCCTGCTGACGGGGCCACCAGGACAACGTTCTGCAGCACCGAGGATGCTCAGCCAACCCCCTTCTAATTCCCCTGCGCCCCTTTCCCAAAGCCCCGACGTTCCGTCCCCTCCAACATGGCCAGCGAGACCGTCCCTCCGGATGCCCCGGCTCGGGCTGCACCGCCGCGCTCTGCCAAAGCGCCCGCGAGCGCCGCAGCGAAGCCCGGACGCGACGGGAGCAGATCCCAAACTCGCCCTGCCCTCGAGGGGCCCGAAACGCTGGGCTGGGGGCTCAGCCCTCAGCTCAGCTCCTGCTCCCTCGCTCCTTGTCCCGCGTCCGAAGGGCTCCCGGCCTCTCCTCGGCCCGTCGTGGCGTTCCTCATCCGAGCGCACCGTGCCGAGGGCGGCTCCGCTGCCGGCTCCTGCACCCTTCCATTCTCTTTGTGCCCAGCAGGACTGGTATCCCCTAGTGTTGGGATTCTTCCAGCACTGAAGCCTTCCTGCTGGAAGGGCCTCCTCACCTCCGACTTTTCCTGGCATCTTTCTTCATTTGGGTCTCAAAAGCAAAAAAAAAAGAACCCAAAAAAACAAAACCAACTGCTTCTGCCTCAGTGTCATCTTCTGCTTTTCCAGCTGCTTCAGCCCCATACGGCGGTTGGTGTTCGGGAACCTCCAGCCTTGCTGGGACCTCTGGCGTTGCCTCAATCCCAGCATCTCCGGTCACAGCCAGCCCCTCGGGAAGGGGCTTCCCATCCCTGCTGGCATCGGAGCGTCCCGGACGGCCTCCGGGCTCTGCCTCCCCCACCTACCGCGACCTCCCGCCCTCCTCTGCGCTCCAGGTCCTCGGGAGCCTCCGGGCTCTCCGTTCTCCTCCATCCGTGATCCAAGGTCAGCCGTGTCCCCCAGCTCCTCGCTGCCAACCACATCCCGGCAGCAGCGCGGCCCGGAGCGGCGCCTTCCCCGCGCACCGGAGCCTGCCGACGCCGAGGCCGTCTCCGGAGCTCACCCTAAAAACCTTCCCCTGCCTCCTCAGGCCACCTTTGGACGCCTGCGGTGGAGGTGGCTACACACAGCACACCGTGTCACACGGTTATTGTCACAAAGCGTCCCCCGCACACGCAAACCATTGGCACCAAACAGCCGCATGTCCCGGGCAGTGGCTTTTGTCCCGGGACTTCAGGAACGGTGCAGAGGGAGGGCCCAAGCGTCCGCACGGGGACCTGCGGGTCTCGCCGCTCCAGCAGAGAATTCCCGGGCGGCTCAGGGCGAGCGGCAGAGCCCCGGCTCCATCGCCAAGACGGGCAAAGGTGCTGGGAGGATGAGGAGGGCCGGCTGCTTCGCAGAGAGGGGCAGAGCAGGAAGGGGAAGCGATCCCGAGAAAGCCGGAGCAGCGGGAGGCAGCGGGAGAGCGCGGGGGAGCCGGGCAGCCGCCCGCCACACTCACCGCAGGGGCACTGTAACTGGCGTGAGGGTTGTTCTGGATCTCCCACAAGCCTTCGTTGAAGCCTTTCCTCTTGTTGGGCTTCCCGTATTTGTCCTTATACTTTTCATAGGGGAACAGGTCTTTGGGGCCCAAGAAGGCGCTGGAGAGAGACAAAGCAGAGGTGAGGCCAGAGCAGAGGCAAAAGCGGGGAGAGCTGCGGAGGGGAGCGAGGCCGCGCTTACGTCTCGTGGGTGCCGAAGAAGAAGATGGGGTACTTGTTCGGCGGCGGCTTCACGGCGCCGTCCGCGATGTCGTCGATCTGAAAGGAAACCCAAAGCGGGAGGTGGTCAGAGAGAGGCTCCTCTGCGAGGCGCCCCGGCGCGCTGCCCCCGCGGGACGCCCCGTCTTCGCTCCGGGCGTCCTGCGTCCTCGTGCTGCGGGGAGACGTCTTCGGGGAGCAGCTCCAGTCCTCCTGGAGCGGCCGCGTCCTCGCGGAGCGTCCTTGGCGCCGGAGCCGCCCCCGCGCCGAACC